CTCAACCCCAAAAAAACATACCGATGCTTTCCAGCGCTTTCGAAAACGGCAATGAAAAATGGCGGCTGAGGGCCGTTGCTGGATTTCAAACACATGTACTTCTTCTCAACTGTCAGGATATCAGGGTCAACTTAGCCGTCTTGATGTTTTTAAATGAGGTGTGGGTCCCAACGAGGCGTCGTGTGAGGGGTGCTATTTTTGGGTCTTGCTGCGTGAAAACAAAGGGTGCATGGGGGTGTGGGGGGGGGGGGGGGGGGTGACACGAAGTGCAAAGCAGTGGATTTCCCTTGGAAGGTCCAATCGGACGATGCTCGGACACGAGTCGAATGCAGCCGCGCTACTTGAGGCCAGGGGGAGGAGGCCGAAAGCTAGCCGAATCGCACCGGATGTACTAGTTACATAGTCGGCAATTCATGTAGTGAGTACATGCTTTGGGAGAAAGGTTGCTACGTACATACTTTGCGCTAAAGAATGTAAATGTGACATCGCCGACTGGGAAGGGTACATTGGAACAACACGGGTGCACTCGTTGGCAGGCACGAAGATGCGTGATCGGCAAATCTGGGGGGTAAATTTACCCCCCGCTTTTGTATGCCTTGAGTCGGAAAGAGGGGTAAGCATTTCTGACATCACACGGACTGTACATACACTAGGGCGTCCGTAGTGTAGGAGAAGCACGGGTAAAAGGTATATGGAGTAGAGTGTCTTGAGGAAATAGCTGGCTTATGGTTGTGGCAAATCTGGGGGGTAAATTTACCCCCCGCTTATGCATGCATTAGGGGTAAAGAATTTGTAACAGTGAAGTACAAGTCCTATGCAGCAAGCAGCAGCCAGCAGCAGCAGCAGCAGCCGCAGCTGCAGCAGCAGCCAGCAGCCGCCAGCGGCCAGCAGCCAGCAGCCAGCAGCAACCACAAACCAGCAGCCAGCCAGCAGCACCACGCAGCAGCAGCGCAGCACCAAGCCGCAGCAGCAGCAGCAGCAGCAGCACCACCACCACCAGCAGCAAGCAGCAAGCAGCAAGGAGCAGCAGCAGGAAGCAGCAAGCAGCAGCAGCAGCAGCAGCGGCGTCGTCAGCAACAGCAGCAGCAGCACCAAGCCGCAACAAGTAGCAAAGCAGCAGCTACAAAAGCGCCAACCAGCGGCAGCAGCAAACAGCAGCAGCAAGCAGCAGAGCGGCAGCAGCAGCAGCACCGTTTACACCAAGCCACCGTTTACACCCAACCAACCACGTTCACACGTTCAACCAACCCCCGCTACACGGCGCAGCTGGGAGTCGAACCGTGGGGGGGGGGTGAAAGAGTGACTAGGGCGTACACGGTTGAGGTGCAGACCGCTAGTGCTTTTTTTTCGCAGAGTCTTATCCTCTTGAGCCTTATGGCAGTCAAGCATGGACACACTAGATAGGCCACTGGAGTGGAACCTATACAAGTAGGCCTCTACTTTTCAGCAGGCACAAAATTCATGTCCACTCCAGCCTATTGCGTATGTCGCACACTATTTTTCCACCGCAAGGCTAAAACAGTCCAGCAAGCTCTAGTAAGTTTAAAAAGGAAACTACGGTGCCTTGTACTTACCAATTCCAGTGTGTGACCACTCTAGAAAAGGTAATCTCAAGGTATACTAGATACAGTGAGGGAGCGATAGCTTACTCACCTCAAATACAAAGTCAAAGACAATGTATCTCGGCTGGAGACTGTACCGTTCACCGGCGAAGATACCATGTACCGGCGCTCACTAGCCCTTAAATAGCCAGAGCTGTCAATCTTTCAGAAAGTTCTAAATTCAAAAGGAAAGCGGCTTCCTTTGCACAGAGACCTATAAAAGCAGTAAACGACACTCGCGTAACGAAAGAACTAAAATTCCAAGACCGCACAAATGCAATGAATTAAGATGCCTTGCAAAATGCAAGGAGCGCAAATAATTCGGTCCGAGGAATGGTCTTCTCGAAAAGTGGTCTCGGCCGCTTCCATACACAGGACTTATAACAAAAATTTGAACTGCATCAAAAGGACTCTCTCACATTGACACCAAAAAAATCAGCCAAAAACAAAAGGAAGGAGATACCGGCAAATGTATGTACAAACATCTTGCACTACAAATGCAAATTTATAAAATGACTTAATCATCAACCATGAATGGTTGTCCATTAGAGGTCACTTCACAAGCGCGGCTGTGGTAGATATCATCAGTTCTGAAAAACTGTCCATACCTACCTGCAGATAATATCCGTTTAGTAAAACTATATTTATCTGCATGCTAAAGCTTATAAACTTGGAATGCATGAGTATCTTCTTTGATAAAAAGTTTCTCCTTATGCAAACCAGAGTTCATTAAAACTTCAGCCTGGCAACTTAAAGTCAGACCTCAACTGTAATCAGTAGTAGGTTAAGAAGTTGGCGGCCTTCCTTTCCTTTTATTCTCTTTCTGTCTCTCCTTCCTCCGCAAGTTAGCCTCTCGAAGAGTCTCGCCCAAGCGATAAAGTTTCCTGTCTCCAGATGAAAAGGAAGCTGGTCTGAGTGAAATAAACATTGGACCATGACTGTCATCGTCAGAGGGTCTTGAGCACATAACCTCCGTGTCAATTATAGCAAAGTTCTCTGAAAAATTACAGACGAACTCCTTCGTGCTCACTGTGGAATTTGTATATTCCTCATCACTCATTGAATGACCCCATTCAACAATGGTAGACAAACAAGTATCGCCAAGCTTCTTTTTCTTCTGTAGAATATTCTTCCCAGAGTTTCTCAAAGTAAACTTCACACTGCTTGAGTACATGTGAAGATGAACTGTAAAATGTTCTGGGAATAGGTGCTTTGATACCAGGATCTGCTTTTACACGGGCTTCTGAAAACCTGCGGATCCAATGCTGCATGGTGCTGTAATAATAGTTAGCCATTGGTTGTCTTTTGTACCCAGACATTCTGTAGGCCAAACTGTTTGCATCACCAGAAATGATGTCCACCTCATATACAAAACATTCATAAAGCATCAACGCTGTCTGTTCTCCTGTCAATAGGTGGGCATCCACAGCACGGTGTGTGTCAACATGATAATTACAGACTCTGATGGTATGCATGTTCGCTCGAGTAAGTGGAACACGCTTGTCCTCAGGACCATAGTCCTCAAATTCAAAGTCTGCATCCTTGAAATCTTGACGAGGCCTTGTTTCTCCAAAACAAATCTCATAGATAGCCCAAGTTACATCACGCTGTTGACAGTGACCAAGTTCTTGGTCATGTCCAGCAATGATCTTGACATATCCACCTGGCGCCAATCTAGCCATCACTGCAAGATTCTCCCAATCATTGAAACAAACTGTCCAATTCTTTTGCTCAATAAAGTCCTTGGCAGGAACAAGAAGATGAGCTTCCTGGAGAATCACGACATGTGCACGTAAAAAGAAGAGCATGTTGAAGAAAAGATTGTTTTCAAATTGCTCATATTGAAGTGACATGGCACTCTGTTTGCGTGGCTTCATTGCACCATCAAGTCCTTGGAGAAACCTTGGTGTGGTGTATTTCTGACCACGAACCATGTTGCCATAGTTCCAGGATAAGAATGTCAAGGACTCTGAGCTGGCCAATAAATTAGTTCCATATTGTTCTTCTATTCTTCCTTTGAGGAACCTTCTGCACAGCTCTTCATAGAAGGTGACATAGTCCCAACTGGGTCCCTTGGGACCATATGATTCCAGTTCTTCTCTAAACTGTTTCTTTGTAACCTCCAAATCTGCTCGAGCTTGTTCTGCCCTTTCAAGGGCCTTGGGATCGACCTGATACTTGTCATCCAAATAACTGATGCGGTCATCATTGATGAAAAATGTCAAATCATGCTCTGAGCTGTCCTCATAACAATCAGGTGGAGGTACTGGACAGATCTTTCGATTGGATGGAACAAAGTCGTCCTCGTTGATCATTGACTGATAGTGAGGATGGGAAATCTCACCTTTTCTGAAACAAACATGGTTCAGCAAACTTGCGTGAGTTTCCCTGAAGCATCGTTGATAAAAGCCAATACCTGGATCTCCTGTAAGCTCTCCAAACAACCTCAAAGGTGAAGTATGCAACTCATAGGTATTGTCAGCATCCGCTGTATCTGTATCAACAACTACTTCAGATGGAAAAGATTCTTGGATTTCAGCCTCCAATTTCTTCTCTCCATCATCCTCTCTGACCTCTCTTATCTTCTCCACCGCCTTTTTCTTCTCCTCAAAGGT